AGATAATAAAGCTCTTCTTATAAGGGACCCGCAGTTCATTTCCTTGAATTTACATTTTATAAGCTAAAAAGAGAAAGGTACTATTATGGAATGTCTTAAAAAATGAAACAAGGCAGTTTGGGGTAAGTTTCTAAGTAATGTGCTGGGCTCTGGAAACAGAAAGATGTTAAGATTTGGCCCCTGTTTTCAACAAGCTTACAGATTTATAAAGGAGGACAGACAAGTACGTGCACACACACACACACACACAGAACAGAGCACAGAGTAATGAATAGATAATCAAAGTTTACACCTGGCACAAGATATCAGGGGACTCTGGCTTGTAGGACAAAGCTACAGTGAAGCAAGAAAACAAGCTTGCTTAGGAATCTGCAACTCCTTAAATTAGGACTTTTCATTTTCTCCTTTCCAGAAAACATCTCCCTTCTTCTCTCCTATTTAGAAATGTTCAAATCACAGAAGCATAGGAAAAGATGGTAGCAAAAGAATCGAGGGCCTGGAGGACAGGTACCTTTCATGGAGAGAATGCGTTCTTCCTAAGCTTTTCAAGTTTTTAGACACATGAGTTAAAAATAAAGTTCTCAACCAGATAGGAAGATAAACTGGGCCTAACATCTCATGCTCTGTGGTTTGTGTGCATCTTGTGGTCCCATGACCTTATCAGTTTTCCTGTTATTTTAAAGGAAATATTTAAATTAAAATCTAAGGGAAGACAGATTCCTAACTGGACTCCGGCTCTTTGTATAATTAAAAACCATAGCCTCTCCAAGCCACATGTTGCTTAATCCAGAAATGTCACCTTTTTCTTGTTTTTATTTACTCATAGGTGAGTTCACAGATACATTGGAAACACATGACTGAGAAGATTTGATACCTCTTCATGGTTTATACCTACCTCAATAACTTTCTCTTTTTTATTGAACTAAAATTCACACTAACATTCATAATTTTAACATTTCTAAAGTGTACAGGTCACTTGTTTTTAGTATATTCACAATGCTGTGTAACCCTCACCACTCTATAATTCCAGGTTATTTTCATCACCCAGAAAAAAATCCCATTAAGCATACCCATTTGTCTCTTCCCCCAGCCCCTGGCAACCAGTAGTTGGCTTGCTGTCTGTATGTATTTGCCTATACTGTATATGTCATTAAATTTAATATTAAATTTAATCATGTGATTTATGAGTTTTTGTGTGACTTCTTTCTCTAATATTTTCAAGGTCCATCTATGTTGTAGCATGGATCAGTACTTCATTCCTTTTTGTGGATGAATGATATTCCTTTATATAGGTATATCATATTTTGTTTACTCATTAATTTATTGATAGCTATTTCTGTTGTTTACACTTTGGGGCTATCATGAATATTCATGTGCAAGTTTTTGTCAAATGCCTGTTTTCAATTTTCAGTGTTCAAAAGACCGAAGTAGAATTGCTGAGTTATATTGTAATTCTATTTTTTAAAAAGATTTATTTATTGGTTCTGGCACTGTGGCATAGTAGGTAAAGCCTCTGCCTGCAGTGCCAGCATCCCATTTGGGCGCCACTTTGAGTCCTAGTGGCTCCACTCCTGATCCAGCTCTCTGCTATGGCCTGGGAAAGCACTGGAAGATGGCCTAAGTCCTTGGGCCCCTGCACTCGTGTTGGAGACCCGGAAGAAGCTCCTGGCTCCTGGCTTCAGATCGGTGCAGCTCCAGCCATTGTGGCCAATTGGAGAGTGAACCAGCAGATGGAGGACCTCTCTCTCTCTGTCTCTCTCTGCCTCTCTTCTCTCTCTGACTTTCAAATAAATGAATATTTAAAAAAAAGATTTATTTATTTGAAAGGCAGAGTTATGGAGAGGCAGAGGCAGAGAGACATAGAGAAAGGTCTTCCATCTGCTGGTTCACTCCCCAAATGGCTGCAATGGCCGGAACTGGGCCAATCTGAAGCCAGGAGCCAGGAGCCTCTTCCGGGTCTCCCATACAGGTGCAGGAGCCCGAGCACTTGGGCCTCTTCTGCTTTCCCAGTCCGTAGCAGAGAGCTGGATCAGAAGTGGAGCAGCCGGGGACTTGAACTGGCATCCATATGGGATGCTGGCACTGCAGGTGGTATCCTTACCCATTATGCCACAACACCAGCCCCTGTAATTCTATTTTAAAAATTTTGAGGACTCTCCAAATTATTTTTAAGTTGCCACATCATTTTAAAAATTCTCATCAGCAATGTATGAGCATTCCAATGTCTCTCCATCTTTCCAATGTTTGTTTTCTAGTGTTTTAAAATTATTATAGCCATCCTAGTGGGTGTGAAGCTGTATCTCATTGTCAATCTCTTTTTATGAATAAATAACCCATTATAGAAGCCACTTTAGAAGCAAAGAAAGCATGCTCACATCAGGTCTTAAATTCTCTCCCTCTCACTCTCTCTTCTTGTATATGAGGGCATGACTAAATTGAGAGGAATTTTTGTCTAAGATAAGCTGCAAATGGAGCTTAAGAAAATTCTAAAAGCAAAACTGTTTTTACTGACTCCCATCACCCACTCTGCAAAGCAAGTAGGATAGAAGCCAAGCCAAGGATTCTAGCTGATGACTGTTGAAATGCCCGCCCCCAGGAATACAGCCAGGTGTCTTTAGTCAGTGATTGGCAGAGGCATCTAAATCTTTGTGAGGCTTGGCTAGTAAAATGCCCTTCTGGTACAAACCCACTCTTGTTTTTTTTTTTTAGTTAACCTGATGAAAGTCATCCTCCTTCCCTCCGTATGTGGTATGTTTTTAGATGAAAAAGCCATGCAACGGAACCCTAATTCCACGTTGCATTTTAGATAAGGCAGTTTTTTCAGGTTCAACAACTTGGGCCTTGTGAAATTTCACAATCCATCCTAGCACCTTTCTCACTGATAATTCAATGTCCATTGCACACATTCCCGTGAGGAATCGTTGCCATTTACTTCAGGCTCTGCTGGCAACAGGCTACAGTACTATTCTTTCCAAACTAGAGAACTTAGTTTTGAGAACTAAAACACATGATACAACTGGTTACCTGGACAAAGCAACAAGACATTGCAAATTACATTTGGTGTTTTTTTTTTCTAATTATTATTTCTACATCCATTTCTGCACTCTGGGTTGCCTGGTACAGGGCGAGAAAACTGAGGCTGGCTGAGGAGGGACTAAGCAGAAAGCATTCAAGTCGCTGGCCCGCAGGCTGCCTGAAGGTCAGTCTCTAGGCAAGCAGGCACGTTCCAGATAAAGACCAGGGATCTTGTGAGACATGAGACAGAGCAGCAATTATGAAAACGCAAGGAGAGACTGCATGGGGTGTGCTTTTTTCCACTGGAAGGCCAAGGAGACCCTAGGTTAGGGGTGCTGGGAAGTCCCAGAGGTCGTTCAAACTCCTGGTAACCGAATATCCATTCGCTCCCACTCGGAAACCAGCAACTGTTCAAGCTCCCGAAGCAGCCCGCAAGCTTTAGGCAGACTCACGTCGATGTCCGCGTCTACTCGCTTAGACAGGTGACCTAGGGCCAGGTCTCAGGTCAAGGGGGCCCAGAAAAGGTTGACATCCTAGCATTTCGCCAGAAGAACTGGGATGCCGTCACGCCGTGCCTGTGGCCGGTGACAGGTCTGCTGGTCGGCTTGGCCAGCCCTGCATGGATTCTGGGCAGCTGTCGTCCCCGCCCGCCTGGGTCCTGACTCCCCCTCCGCCTCCGAGGCCGCCAACTCTCTCGGGTACAAAGTACAGCGGGGACGCAGGCGGAGCTGTTCCAGGCGGCGCAGCCTTATCTTCCCGGGGTGAACACCTAGATGGATTTCCAGTACCGCACCCAGCTCCTTGGGGAGGGAGCCTCGGGCACCTCCCGAGCTCCCGGCCAAGCGTCCGCGCCTCTGCAGCTGAGATTCGCGTGGGAGCTGCAGGCGGCTCTGGGCACCACCAGCTTTTTTGAGATTCACAGTGCTTCCCTCAGGCCCCCGAGTTCTCCCTCCCGCGAAGAGATGCTTGCAGTGTTAGAACTCAGAATCTCCTAACGCAGGGCTGCTGTCCTTCCTACGCATAGCGCCAGCAGCTTAGAGTCCGTTTCCGCGACCCTGGGAGACTGGCGCGGGCACCTGCGCTGGGGCCGCGCTCCAAGGCAGTTGGACCCAGCAAAGAACGTCAACGCGCTCCGGGACCGCACAGGCACTTTGCACCGGCCACCTCCGCGCGGGTCTGGAGGTTGCGCTCTCTGGGTAAGGAGCGCGATTCGGCGGCGCAGGGCCAGCGCAGGAGGGAGGTGCGGGTCTAGTGTCCCTGGGGAGGGACAGGTGGGGCGCTAAGGTTCTCCCAGGAGGGGCCAGCAACTGAGGAGAACCGAGATGAACTGCAGATATCTATGTTTCGGATCCGTTTCAGTCTTCGCTTGGGGTAGAAGTAGGATGGGACCGGACAGAACCTACATCGGTGATTCGCACCCATTCTTCAGGAAGGCGGAGGAACTCACCAGGTCCCTCTGAGGGATGAGTTTGGGTGCTGCGAGGGAACCCCGGAAGCAGCCGCTGGAGTTGAACCTGGGAAAGACTTGGAAGTAAAAAAAAAAAAAAGAAAGAAAGAAAGAAAAAGAAAAAAAATTGCAGGAGCGGGGACAAACCACCTATGTGCCCTCCTCCCTCCCTTTCTGCCCCCCCCCCCACCTTTTTCGTAGCTGCTGACGCGCTAGTGGTGCCTATTAATCATTCACCAGCCCGGAGCCGCGCCAGTTAATGGCTGTGCTGCGCGGGGCTCTAGCCTCTCCTCTCCAAGCTCCTATGTGTCCTGGCGCCCCTGAGCTGCAAGAGAGAGCGCGCAGGCAGTCGCTAAGCGATGTTCCCGGCCCGCGCCGCTAGGATCCGCGCTCCCCGCAGCTGCTGCGCTCTATTCCGAGGTGCTGGGTGGCTGTAAGCTGCAGGAGACAGGTCGGGTGCCCAGGAAGGACGCAGGCGGCGGGGGCGCAAGGACAGCTCCCCAGCCCCCAGCCCCGGCCGCCCCACGGGCTCCTCTCAGCTGGGATGTTCCCCAATGGCACCGCCTCCTCTCCTTCCTCCTCTCCTAGCCCCAGCCCGGGCAGCTGCGGTGAAGGCGGCTGCAGCAGGGGTCCGGGGGCCGGCGGTGCGGACGGCATGGAGGAGCCAGGGCGAAACGCGTCCCAGAACGGGACCTTGAGCGAGGGACAGGGCAGCGCCATCCTCATCTCTTTTATCTACTCCGTGGTGTGCCTGGTGGGGCTGTGTGGGAACTCGATGGTCATCTACGTGATCCTGCGCTATGCCAAGATGAAGACGGCCACCAACATCTACATCCTAAACCTAGCCATTGCGGATGAGCTGCTCATGCTTAGCGTGCCCTTCCTGGTCACCTCCACATTGTTGCGCCACTGGCCTTTCGGCGCGCTGCTCTGCCGCCTCGTGCTCAGCGTGGACGCCGTCAACATGTTCACCAGCATCTACTGTCTGACAGTACTCAGCGTGGACCGCTACGTGGCCGTGGTGCACCCCATCAAGGCGGCCCGTTACCGCCGGCCCACCGTGGCCAAAGTGGTGAACCTGGGCGTGTGGGTGCTATCCTTGCTGGTCATCCTGCCTATCGTGGTCTTCTCGCGCACCGCGGCCAACAGCGACGGCACGGTGGCTTGCAACATGCTCATGCCAGAGCCCGCCCAGCGCTGGTTGGTGGGCTTCGTGCTGTACACGTTTCTCATGGGCTTCCTGCTGCCCGTCGGGGCCATCTGCCTGTGCTACGTGCTCATCATCGCCAAGATGCGCATGGTGGCCCTCAAGGCCGGCTGGCAGCAGCGCAAGCGCTCAGAGCGCAAGATCACCCTCATGGTGATGATGGTGGTGATGGTGTTTGTCATCTGTTGGATGCCTTTCTACGTGGTGCAGTTGGTCAACGTGTTCGCCGAGCAGGACGACGCCACGGTGAGCCAGCTGTCGGTCATCCTGGGCTATGCCAACAGCTGCGCCAACCCCATCCTCTATGGCTTCCTCTCGGACAACTTCAAGCGCTCTTTCCAGCGCATCCTGTGCCTCAGTTGGATGGACAACGCGGCTGAGGAGCCGGTCGACTACTACGCCACGGCCCTCAAGAGCCGCGCCTACAGTGTGGAGGACTTCCAGCCCGAGAACCTGGAGTCTGGCGGCGTCTTTCGTAATGGCACTTGCACGTCCCGGATCACGACGCTCTAAGCTCCGGCCGCGCCGGGGGCCCTGCGTCTTGGGAGGTGGACGAGAGTGCGGAGGCGCCGGGGCGCAGCGAGGGTAACGTGAGGCTGAGACACCTCGCGCCTCGGGCGGAGGGACCTGGGAAAGGCACTGTAGAACCGAGGAGTTTGGCTTATGATCTGGGACGGTTTCGGGCCGCCCTCTCGGCCTCTCCACTCCGCTGGCTCCTGGGCACCCTGTGCTCTTCCCACCCCGTGAACTTCCATCCTTCCTTCCTCACCGTCCCGCGAGCGCAGGTCATGAACTCGTTAAGGGCGCCGCCTCACTCCGGCCGAGATTTCTCGGTTACGACTCCCGGGCTGAGACCCCAGCTCGCCCTCAGCCCCGCGCCGCCGCCGCGCCCAGGCTGGCCGCTTCTGCCTGGCGCCCCTGGCTGAGTCTCTCGGGACTCGCCGCCCTCCCGTGGCGCAGCCCTACTTTAAGGGAGGTCGCGCTAGAACCTGAACTCGGCAGCCGGTCTCTCCCCGGGCTCTGGGCGAGAGCGCATCTCTCCCCCCTCGGCCCTTCCCAGTTCCCACTCCACCCGGGGCGGAGCCAGGTGCTTCGTAAAACTGCGTCCCCGCGTGCTGAACCCCAGGCAGTCCCCATCTAAGCCCTCCTTTGGAGCAAAAAGGATCTGAGAGCAAGACGAACGAGGAGTTTGTAGATTTTCGATTTGGGGCTGGGGCGTTGTAACAGAAACCACCCTCGCGCGGGGCTGCCGGCCGCGTGTCTGCGAGAGGCAGGGCTGGGCAGGACAGGACGCGGTGCACTTTCTCCCAGGGCTGCCCCGAAGCGCGGCTGCCCCCTCGGCCTGCCTTTCCTTCTCACCCAAGCTTCTCTGGGAGGAGCCGACCTAAGACAACAGACTGTTTCCTGCTCCGGTTGATCGCGAAGACTTGGCTAAGCCTGGGCGTGTGACCGCGGCAGGCAGTTTCCAGAGCGCGGGGCCTGCCAGGACCCAGAGGTTTGCAGCCTTTCAAGCGGTGCCTAAAAGTTATTTTTCTTGTTGAACGTATTTATTTATTTATTTATTTGTGGTGTTGGAAAAAAAAAATGTCCGCTTTCCATTTCTCTAATTGCCTAGCCCCAGGCCTTTTTCTTGAAGACTCCGGGGCGGGGGTGCAGTGGAGAGCTCCCTCCCCACGCTAAGGGCCTCCCTTTGCTGGGCCCTCTTTTCTTAGTCTTTCCTCTGGCCTTTCTATTTTTGCTTGCGTCCAGTGAAGTTCGGAGATTTTTCATACTTTTCTTACTGTCCTCTGTCTTAAATAAATGAGAACATGGGTTAACCTCCTCTTCATACAGAGTGGGAGGTCTTGAACTCCTGGTTTTCCAGGAAATGCATATATAATGGAAACATCACCCTATATATGATTCAAGAGAGCTTGTGTGTGTGTGTGTGTACATATATATATATATACATATATAGAGATTTATATTCATCTTGCTCTATTGTCATGACTCCATGAAATAATTCTAAGTATAGCCACAATGGCAGGGGTGAACTTGGCTGGAACACTTTTAATATTAGATGTTCAACCTTCACTCAGATCTGAATACTCTAAGTCAGACTTTAATCACTGCTAAGTATGGACTTGCTTCTGGGTTCTGGAAGCAGTGACTCTTAGAACCCTGTTAACATCATCATTTCTTTTAAGGCAGTTGAAAGTGGAACCACTTAGATCTATGTTTAAATCTTACTGACTACTTTGGAAGCCTGAGGAGGACAATGACCAATAATTTTACTTCTTTGTATTTCCTGCATTGCTCTAATATACTGGCTTGTACATAGTAGGCACTAAACACATGTTTGTTGGCTGATTGTTTAAATAAACCAAAGTGTATCTGGAGACAATACATCTGGAGTTCTCAGGTTCTCTCATTGATATGATACACAATGGTTGAATTCGCTGTTGAAAAAGTTATTTTGTGTGTATTTGCTTCAAGAACATTGTGCTTTCCTGAAAGCAGCGACCAAGAGTAAAAATGTCCCTAATGCTTTGTTTAATGAGCAAATAATGTTTTTGGCCATATATCAGAAAGTTTAGTTCTGTCCCATAATAACAACACGTATTACTTCTCCTTTGGAAAATAGATTTTTACTGGTTAAGAACAGTGACATTCAGAAATCAAAATCTGGATTGTTATCTTCTTCAGAGGACACAGATATAGTACTCTGCATCTATTATTGTAATAGTAACTAAATAAACAGAAGTGTTTTGCTGTTTCAAGTTGTCTCATTTTGCCATTTGAGTTTTACTGTTTCAGTAGATTACTTGAACACACACACACACACACATTGATAGTTAGATTCTGAGAAGAAAAGTTCCAGATTAACTTTGGAAGCTTTACCAAGATTGAATTATTTTCTTTAAAAGAAAAATCTGTTGGTTCAGAGAACAAGAGAAATAAGAAGAGGTTGAGTCCATATGAATAGGAAGCAATGCACTGGGTTGCACTCTGTTCTCACAAACTAGCTAGATGATATCGCAATCTCCTGCTGATTAAATTACTGTCTGCCCTCATTTGTGACCTCAGTCTTTGTTGTGGAGCTAAGTAATTGCTGATTTACATCCCAGGAAGAGATAATGGGCAGGCAAAAAGTCTCCCAAAGATGTTCCACAGGGCAGTGGGTAAAAGAAATGGGAGAAAAAAAAAAAAAAAGAAATAGAATAATCAGGTTTCTGTACAATGGAAGAAGGACATATTTTATGCTTTGTGCAGTGATGGGCATTTCCATCTCTGGAAGAATTTAAGGAGGCACTAGGGGAGTGTTTTCTTTAACAGATGTTATTTTTTAGAGCAGTTTTATTTCCACAGCAAAATGAGCAGAAAGGAATGTTTTCCAAACAGGCAATAGCAGTGATTCCAGAACTGGAGGTTGGGGGTGGGGGTGGGGGTGGGGGTGATGGAGATTGTCACTTGAATGCTTTCAAATGTCCTTTAAGGCTTGGCTTTGTATACCTGTGGTTCTATACTTATCTCAGTAGGACTAAGAATAGCTGGACTTTTGTCTTCATTTTTTTTTAAAGCTATAGCAAGGTGGCAAATTAAACCCATAAGTTAGAAAATAGGTTTTATTCTTTTGACTTTAACTACTCAGAAATTTATTCTAACTATCTGAGAGGAAAAGTGAAGTGAGCATTCAAACATCTGATTGAGCTGATCATAGAAATAGCCATTTAAAAATTTTCCAAATTTTATTTGAGTAAGTTTGGACACTTTCTGGGGTGGACTCATCTTCCTGTTTCACCCCTAAAATGGCATTAGAGTGAGAGAAAGAGGAAAAGGTGAGAAGGAGTGGGAAAGGGGCCTTCAGTGTCTTCTGCTATCCAGAGCCAAGCCGTTTGTCCACCTGGCTACTTCCTGGATGAAGTTTGCTGAAATCAGAGCCTGAGACTCAACTTCTCAGCTTGGTGAGGACACATGTCAGCTCCTGTGGGCTGCAGCCCACTCAGGGTCTTCCTCGGTTCTCATGGAGCCTACCAGCCCAGAGGTCAGCCCCAGGCTCTGCTGAGAAGCGACCTCCCCCAGCCACAGTGGCTTCATGAACCTCTTGGCTCAACGACTAGAGGAGGACTAGAGTAGCCCTAGACTGGTGACCCTCAGAATGTCTGTTTGACCAAGTCTCTCCATTTGTCGGTGGCCGTCTCAGATCTTTTGCATCCCTCTTTAACTTTGTTAACCTCACTTGTTAAAATAGTCCACACTCCCATATCACCTTTATGCTAGAGGAAAAATACAGGAATTGAGTCTCTCCATCTTAGACTTTGAGGAACTGGAGCGGAAAAGAGTATTTAGCAAATATCCACCCATACCCCAGACACACACCTACTTTAGGTCCAAACATTTTTGCATTGCCTAGAAGTTGAAAGTAAGTGTGCTACTATCCTAAGGCAATGAGCCTTGCCTCATAAGGAGGGAATGAAATGAAATATGATTTATAGAGGAAGTTAAAATGTGTCACTTTAGTGTATAAGAACTATTCTCTCTATTATGTGTGAACTCAGTGTTCCTGGAGTAGCATTTCCCAGGCCATGTTCTCACACAGTTCTCACAGAAAAGGATCAAACTTGAAATCTTTTGATGCCTCATCCATTATAACTTAACCATTGTATAAAAGGTTGAATGTGTCATTTCGGCCTGAGGAAAAAAGGCAAGAAGTTCCTCTGGAGAGCGTTCTGGGAGATAAATTTTTAAAAATTGTAATGTATTCCCAACCTACTTTAAATAAATCATAGAGATGCCATATTTATATTAATCTTTGAAAAGGACATTTTGGAAATGGGTTATAGTTAACAAATGTGATTCCCTGTTTCGTTTCAATGTAGTACATTGGAAAGATCTGATACTTGACTCAAATGACTGTTAGATGTTTCCATAACAGTTACTGTGGTCAGTGCTTTTAAATACAGTATCCTATATCAGAGTGCCTGTTTGGGTCCTAGCTACTCTGCTTCCAACCCAGCTTCCTGCTAAGGCATCTTGGGAGAAATCAAGTACTTAGATTTACCCACATGGGAGACCTGGGTGGAGTTTGTCTTTTCTCTCATCTTTCAAGTAGATAAAAACAAACATTCAAAAGTGGTCAAGATGGAAAATCTTACACAAAAGTAATCTTGCAAAACTGAAGTCTCCATCTTATGAATAACCATTCACTCTGAGCGAAAGACAACCTTTTCCACATGCTCATTTGGCTATCTTGCTTATCATCAAAAAAATTTCAGTTTATTGGATTTAAAATAACATAGGCAGGTTCAGCAGCATGACATGTTTTCTTTAGAAGAAGGCAAGAATGAAGATAATGTAGGTGATCATTAATTATTTTGCTAAGTAGCTAGAGACCAGGTATCACTGTGAACACACTTGTAAAAGGATTGAATCAGCCTCTTCTGATTCAACGACAAAGAAAAGAAAAGTGTTTCTGTAGTGCTGACAAGGTTGAGGAGGCCTGTGAATTGAAGTACACAGCCCAGATTAAAATATGGAAAGGATGGGTACAGAGGGACATCATCTAAAAAGGAGATACAATTTTAAATAAAAATCTTTCTGTAATATGTTCACTTTGAATCTAAACTTAATTATTGTCAAGTTATATACTAAGTCAGTTTTGTTAGCCAAAAACTGAAACTATTATATGCATTTAAGACTGAGATTACAGACATGCTACCACAACTCTGTGGTGCATTAACAAACTTGAAATTTAAAAATAAATACCTCTCTAAGTCAGATGGATGCAAGCCTGCAAGTGTGAGTATACAAGAGGTATCAAAGGAAATGAGAAGTGGGGAATGCTATGAGCAACCATGCTTCCTCTTCAAAGGAATTTGACACTTATCTCCCCACCCGTCAGTGACTACAAGCCTGGGACTCTCACAGTTGAGGACCTTGAGTATGTCCAACTTTAAGAATTTAGGGAAGCCCTAATATGTATTACATCCCACTTGGAGGAGGACATATCATGTGGAGGAGGACACTGTAGAACATTTTGTACAGAACAGTTCTTTCACAAGAATACTGTCTATCTAAAAAGACAAGTCATATCCACTTAAATTTAGACAAAGGGAAAAACCCTGAGACATAATAGGCAAGCACAATGATATTTTACAATTGCTTTTGTGACTTACATGATTATTCTGGGAAAGGGTGTCCAAATATTGATGAACAATAGCTCTCACTGTGTTCTTTCTGTCTCTATAAACCTTGAACAATTCATTAATCTAGCAAATATTATTAGCAGTGGCAAGATGTCTATTCAACATCAATAATTAAATTAAACATTCTTTATGTCCAAGAGCCACTGTAACTAGCAAACCAAGCAGATGTCTGTATGGCTTTTTCAAAAGACTCACATGTCTCTCTCTATATAAACTCTGATACCTGTAATTAAAATACACACACACACACACACACACACACTACTTAAACAAAAATGAACTTACTAGATATGATTGATTAAACTTCAAGACTTTTTCTTGATTTCTCTTTTAAAGTCTCATTTTCTACCTCCTCACCCCAAAGTAGAACTCCATGCTATTTCACTTGTCCCACTACTCCCATTAAAGCACTTTTCAGAAAAGGATTCGTTTTGATTTATAGTTTAAAAAATTTACAAGTCTCTACGTGTTATTTTTCCAGAGGCAAGCCTTTTAAATAGAGATACAACATCAAAACGTTAAACATTTGTGCCCTTGAAATCATATCTTCTACGTGTGTTTATGGACAAGTCTTCAACAAGACCTGTATCAACATCACTTGAGGACTGATAAAAATGCAGATTTTTCTTTACTCCATGACAGAGTTTTCAAATCAGTAAGTCTGGATGATTCTTCATGATTCTCAGGTACCCTGTTATTTTATATATAAGCATTTAAGGGTTAAAATCATGAAATTTGTCATCAGCAGACAAGACTGATGTATTTGTTGTGTGATACGGGGCAAGTTAATCTTCATGGTGCATATTTAACTTGTATATAAGGATCAGGAGGATGATCTGTAGGGCTACTGTGATGAGACAGTGCATGTGACTGTCCAATCAGTCAGAACAGTTTTAGTTGCAAATTCAAACCTGAATCACTCACATAAGTGAAAAGTGTTGAAAAGATCTGGCTTCGGGTGCACTCGATCACTTGATCCACAACTCACTTGAATTTTTTGCCCCTTTGGGTCTGCTTTTCTCATCTCTAACTTCGCTATGTTGACTCCATTCTCAGACTAGCTATTCCTTTGAAATTACACGGTTTCTGCACAAAGTGAAATGTAACATTTTCCAGGTTCAAAATTCAAAGGGCAGTGAAAACATCATTCTTTACAATTGGACTGTCTGACATCATTTATCTTTTGTCTATTTCCCTCCATATATTTTACTGAGTATATTAAAAATGTAAGGCCCTGCCTCCTGATTTCTTTATGCCTAGATTATTTCTCAAGGTTGTGTTTGTAACATGAAGTTTCAAGTGATCAGGTAATGTCTATTTCAAAAACAAAACGAAGGCTTGAACATGCTTACTATAATGCAGTGCCTTTCACAACTCAGCGTCCCTCAGCTGTGACACAAACCCACTGCTGCACAACATCTGTCTAGTCTTATGTCACATTTCTTTCTTGAGGACTGGGAGCAAAGGGAACTAGTGCAAACCATGTTGTTTGTTAGCTGGCCATTAGTAATAAAGTCCCTGGACTCTGACCCTGAAATCTTTTGTTTTCCAGCATCCATCAAACAGCAA